ACTGTACTGAAAGCTCTTAATAGGTTCTCTAGCTACGGAAGAGGTTATGTAGTTGGTCTATAGTTCCTGTAGCATGTTAACTACAGTATTTTTAGGGAACATTTATGTGTGCTATGCTTCCACTGACATGCAGTTTGCTCTACTTTATTACCAGTAACTTCCACTTCACTACATTGGATTGAAGAAAATATTGCATAATATTTTTGTAGTAAGCTCATTTTGAGTGAATAAAATCTCTCTCCCCCTAAAATCAGCAATATTATCTGATATAGGTTTATACTAATTTTTTTCCCCATCTGAAATTATAGACAAATAAATATGCTTTTAACAATGTTTTGAAGAGGATTGCTGAATTTTTTTCTTCTCCTTTCTGGATCCTGATTCTGAAGTCAGTTGCACACAGAGAACAGGAGGTGGACCGCCTGACATAATTCATGCAATGATCTGAAGAATGTGACTTTGGCATAGGAATGGCTTTAAATTTGAGCCTGAGATGGGCTGAAATTATCTCCATGCTCATTGAGTAGTCAGTTTCTGAGAGAAAAATAGCAGAGAGGAGATCAATGGCATCTCATCTAGCTTGACATATGAGAGAGTTATTATCTTCAGGTGAACATAAACATAAGAAGAAACTCTTGAAGCACATCCAGCCCTTCTCGAGCTCTTTGTGACTGTGGTAGCAGTTATGAAAGCCAGTGATATATTTTTCACTAGTAAGTGTACGATAGGAGAACTTCAGAGAGCAAGAGATGAGTCATTACAGACTCAGGAGTTTCTTCACAGAGTTGGAAATAAACTTCTAGAAGTTGAGGCTGTCAGCCTGGAGAATGAATCTTGAGTTTTAGATGCTCAAATCTTGCCCTCAACTGTATCACATCCTTTTCATAGGCTATACACGTGAGCTGGTCACGAAGGGCCTGGTTCTTTGCCTGATTGCGCGCTTCTAATGGAGTACAGGGGTTCACTGGTGAAACCAGTGATTTTACTGGTTTGGGGATCTTGAACAGTGTGTGTCCCAATTTATCTTGTCATTCAAGTTTGTCTTCTTACACAGGGCAGTCTGGTAGCTGAAAAGTCAGTATTAAAGGAATCTTATTTTCCTGTTAAAAGACAATAATTCTTGTGATCTGTTCTTCATGCATACTTAGAAAGATTGTGAGTTGTGCAGACGTACATGGATTTTTGTAGTCCTGTAAAATTAGGATCTTGCTTTTGATGTTGCTAATTTAACACATTCATATGAGTAATTGTTTTCATAAATTCATTAGGTGAAGCTGACACATCAAACTTGTGTTTCAAAATCTCAAAACCTCATTTGTGCAAACTGGCAAAGAAGTTGGAAGTTGTGTAGACCCTCACCTCCTTTCTGAACATTGTCTCTATGGAATGGGTTTGATGTCAGTTCAGGTGTCTTCTGTTGGGTTGTCAGATGGTAATTTTGTTAGAATTGCAGTTAAATAATTCTGTATTTGTTGAATATCTGTGGTGACATGTAAATAATATGGACATGACAGCTTTAGGGGCTTTTCCAGTTTGGATGTTATGTTCAGCATGTTATACATATTACATGTAGATGTTAGGCAAGGGTTTCCCATCTAGCTCTGTATGTGTCTTGTGCCTTGGAAGTCACAACCCCCTTTGCTCTTTGTAGAAAATCAAAAGAATAACAGCTACTTTTTATCTCTAACTTTGAGCTTTCTTAGGAAGCAGTCATTCAGGCATTTAAAGACACCCAGGGCCAGATCAGCTGCATTGCAAGTCACAGGATTGACTAGATTTATAGTTTGCTGAAGAAGACTGCACGCACGAAGTCTAAACAACTTACGCGGTAGGAAGGCTGCATCATAGCTTCACAGAAGATGATGTGGCAAGCAAACAACTCGCTCTAGACCTCTTGATGCTGTTACAGGCAGTGATGAACACCTAATTGTACTGGAAGCTGTGAAATGTTCTTGTATGTACCAGCCTTAACATCTCAGGCTCTGGGTCCTTTTCAACTATCTTCCACTCCAATACAGATGGTTCATTTTCAGTGGTAACAGTGAGCACAGATTCAGCATTTTGCTAAGACAGACTTGCAGTGGTACAAGTGATCTCGAAGATGGTATGCATTAAACCTGCGTGCCAGAGGCTTTGTCTTGTGCTCTAGCAAGGAAAGAGGCTTATTTGTTTGCTTGGATGTTTTCCTGGTTTGGTCAAAGATTTCTAGAAAGGAGCTGAATCTAAAATGTGTTTTCCACTCTGTTTTGAACTGCTTAAATGTGTGATTTTCAGGAAATATTTTCTCTACAAGCATGTTAAGATTGACTACTGTACAGGGATAGTGTCAGTTGTTGCACATACAGATGATTATAGATTCACATGCAATTTTTGCAGAAGTATTATGTGTTTTAGTCTCCACTGGTGTGACCAAGAGGAGGGGTTTCATGCAGCCCGAAACCAGTGTCATTTTGAACTTGTGGAAAACATACCGTAGTTACATAGTTGGAATAGGGCCAGCTATGGGAACATTTCAAGTAGTATAATATTTTTTGGCTACTTTATCATGCACAATACAATAATATGATCAAAGCTGACAAGTTACATGATAGGGCAAACAATTAGAAGGATGTGTTTGTTTTTCAACCAATAATTAAATAATTTCTCATTCTGCTATCGTATTCACAATAGTTGGCCTTCCCTAGCTGAAAGATGTTTCTTTTGAATTGTTGGACACTAAGAATGGAGCTTTTCCTGTTGCCCTGTGGCTGTGTTTAGGGCTGTGATCCCCAAAGCATCTCTCTGAAGGATAATTAACAGCAGAATTGCAGATAGCAGTTGGCCTGAGGCTGTCACATTCTTATCAGAAGAAAAACACGTATGGTAGTATGGTATTTAAAGCATGTGTACAGTCATAGTTGTTTGCACAAAGATCATCTTATCTTTTTAATAAAGAAGATATAAGTGAAAATTTCTAATACAGATTCAGTTATGAGATAGTAGGGAAATACAGAGAATATAGCCACTTACAGGAGGGAGGAAGTCTCTCCAGGAAAATGAATATGGCGGGTTTATTTCACGTGGTTCAGACATTGCTGTTTAAGTGGCCGGTATAGTTTATTTGAAGTAAAATTTCATCCCTTATCAAGTGAGTGAAACATACTTGCTTGGAGGGAAACTCTAAATTGAGAGGAGCAAAATCTAAAAAATGCCAAGGACCTCCAATTTCCAGTGTAGTGCTTAGTGCCCATCAGTTGAACCTTAACTGCAAAAAAAAGATGCCATCAGTTGTAGTAAGCCCCCCCCTTATCAAAATAAGCAAAAATGTTATCATCTGTTTCCTCAGGTCATCTCATGCTGCTGCAAGACTAGTTTTGTTGAGCACATTTCCAAATGGAAGTAACACAAGTTCATCCCTTAAAATGAGGTTTTTGGCACCCCCCACAACAAATGTTAGGCATGGTTAGCATCTTTTTGTTGGGACTCAAGCCAGAATGCATCCTGCTCCTGCACAATGGGAACCTGCTGGGGGGTTCCCTACACAAACAGCTACTGTTAAAGATGGAGTGAAAAACAAAACCCTGCTCCCAATGTAAAAAAAGGACTGGATTTTTAATCTGAAAAAGAAGTCACTGTAAGCAGAACACAAAGGAAAGAGAAGTGAGTGTAATAAAAATACCATCAGTATGGGAGGGGGCCTGTGCATGTTGCAAATAATGGCTTTGCACTTTTGAGGGTTCACTAAATAATACATACTTTCTGTTTTGTGAGAGGAACCTCTCTAGTCCCATGGAAAATCCAGGTTAGAACCTGGGCTGACAGTGCAAATTCCCTAATAGTTTTTGTCTTTACTTATGCTAAATAGCCTCTTACTTCACTGGGAGCACTTGGAGAAAAAGATAGTGAATATGTATTTCCTAGCATGAGTCAGCATCAGCATCTTCTGTTTTAAAATGGAGGCTTAAGATAATATCCAGGTGACTTAGTCTTTCTGTAACAAAAATGTTTTTAACTTTTGTAGCTTCTCCTGAAAATGGGGAAATGGTTCTCAGGTCTCACCCTTGCATGTCACAAGCTCTGCCATCCATCATGTGGAAGGACTAGGGGACCTTTAGGATAAAGAAGGGTTGGGAAAGAGAGTACTGCTGCCACCAGCACAGCCTGTTCAGGCTCAGCCCTTTCCAGAGATGTCTCTGGGATGAAGGCTGTCGAAATGAGCTCCAGGCTGGAAAACCTGTTGTGGGCTGCAAGCAGCCTGCAGTCTGCAAGCTCATCAGCCTGTTGTACATCAGAGAATTGGATTTTTATAGCTAGTACATTAAAGGAAAATACACAAATTTAAAAGAAATATACATTGCATAAAAACTGTATTCATTAGCCAATCTGCGTTTACACATTTCTTAAAACTAGAAATAGTCCCTTTTTCTTCCAAGAAAGTGTGGGGGAGAGGGGAGAAGTCATGCCATCTGTGAAGAAAAAGCTTGATACTATGCATGCATCAGTACTGGTACTTTCATAAATCTGTTTGTTTAGTTCTGGAACGGCTACTCAGGCAGTATTTAATACTGTGCACAGGATCTGAGGTCTGTCTCTCCAAGAATTAAAACACTGGTAAGAATCTTGGCTTTTTATTTGAGGCTGGATATAGAGATTGAAAAGGTAGCATGCCCAGGGAGCACAAGGGGTAGCAGGGAAGGGCTTTGGGAGGACAGCATGACAACAGGAATCCTGTGCGAACTCACAGGAACAGCTGCAATCTTTGTGTCTGACTGCAAGAACATCTAAGATTCAGGGTGCTTTGATGTATGTCCTATGCCTGTTTGTCTCTTGATATTTGTCAAGACAGTAGAGAATCAAAAGCCAGTTTTCATCTTCATTTCATGTTGGGATTGATTAAAAGAAACAAAGGGATCTGAATAGATTGCTAGCATACAGAATGCCTCTCTCAGGAATATTGAGGTTTAAGTAATTAGTATTGGAGAAAATTTTTACTAGGTCTGTTAATGGAATGTCCTGTAGACATGCTGTCTGTGTGGGGTTTGTCTTTCGGACGCCAGCTTGTGCGGGCAGTGGAAGCGGGTATGTCAAGAATAGTTACCCACAGAGGGAGCGCTTACCTGCGTGGGTGTCCTGAGCAATGGTCGGTAATCTAAAAGTCCTTTTTTCCCCCTACTGTGTTTTTTAATGCATTTAATATAACAGGTCCTTGATAAGTCTTTGATGTAGGTTTCCAGGCATGATGGCAATCCAGATAAATAATTATTAACATTATTGTTACATTTGTTTGATCTTTTAAATCCTTCAGTGATTTGAGCCTAGGCTCTGCTGCTGCTTCTGTCTGTGCAGTCGATTACCAGGCTCTATGAGGGACTCCCAAGAGGCTTTGTTTTAAAAAAACAGTGCCAATTGGAAATGATATTTTTCTACTCTCTTTTTATATTAAAAAAAAAAATAGGCTTATAGAAGTGTAAAGTTGAGAAAATTTTGGATTCAGAAATGTGAAAGTTTTGGTTTGATGTTTTTGATCAATTTTTACTGACCCCTATGCTTAGCTTTTATAAATAGTGTTCATTGGTTCTTCTGGATTTTGGATGTGGAATGCCATAAAAACAAGGGTATTCAAGGCATTTTGCAAGGTAGGAAAAACTTGTAAGACTATTCTCTATCTGAGCAGGTCCAAAGTAATGCCTTAGTTAGTTATAGGTAAAGTGGAACTGGCAATGCTACTTTTAGAGAGGCTGCAACTGCTTTTGGTTTCCAAAGATACTGGCTCTCCTTTCTCTCTAATGTTATTGTTTGTTTCTGCTTATGGCAGAGACTGTAATGGATGGAGACAATCCCAGAAGCCTTGTTGAACTTTTTGCACAGTTGTACAACCTCAGTCTGTTATCCCTCTGTGCAAATCTCAAAATTTCTGTGCATGATGGCCCAGAAAGGGTGAGTTAACCAACCTGAGGTGAGTTAACCCAGTCTGAGGGCTTGAGAGCTTTAGGCAAGGTCGGAAAAAAAGATTTTCCCCTTTCTTAGTGCATAGGGATGTGTTACAGCCTGGCTGCTAAGGCAGCTCATGCAGTTTCACACACTACGAGCTCGCATCGTGTTCATGTAACTGGAAACATGAAGGTAAGGTGGAAAGTGGAAGTGCCAACTCAGATCTGCTGAAGTGGGGGAGAGTTTGTTATCCCGGCATGCCATTAAAATGTCAGCTTCTCTGGGTGCTTCCTAGTTGTCATCGTAGTGCCTGCACATGTCAGCGCTGCTTTTTCTGTACGGTGCTGCTCGTGCTGGGAGCCTGTCCCTGTCTGAGCAGCGAGAGCCCCAGCTGATGGGTGAGCATGGTGCTGTGCCATGCCACTCGGGTGGCAACCTGGCAGCTGCTGTCAGTGGTGTTTGTGGACAGTTTGAGCAAAAGGTATGAGTTTTGAGTGGTGACTGGCAAAGGAGGGCATGCTGTTTGCTTGAGGGATTTCAGGAATAGATTTGTGCATCACTGAGAAGCAGCTGAGCTAGCTTGATTGGAAACATTTTTATAGATCCCCAGGCTGGAAATGTGACCTAACCTTTGTCCGTCCTCCTGTTAGTGAGCAAGTGCTTCCAAGAGAAGTCCTTAAAAGATGTTGCTTGCTCTCTACAGCAAAATGGTAATTGGCTATTAATGTGAATATCATCTATTTATCACTCCTTCTGCCTTCTCCCTCGCCTCCATTTTGTTTGAGCAAATAGAAACGTTAAAATGTTTCTGAGTATGAGCAGCATTTCTTGTCTGGCATGCATTAATGGGGCTGGCGGGAAGTGATTTTCCACAGCAAGCTTCCCTGGTGCAGCCCTTCCCCACCCAGCAGCAGCTGTAAACAGCTGATGTTAGTTATCATCCACCTGCTGACTGTGCCAAACAGACATGCCATTACACTGTGACAAAAAAGGCTCCCGGTCTATTAAGTCCTCCCTCATACCTTTAGTAATGCTGATAAAATGCTGACCTGTTTTTTACCCCGGTGGCTGCTGTTGCTAAGCACTGAGAATATGACCTGTCTCCTGTAATAATCTGCATCGCACAGGTTCAGATGATCTTCCAAATGAAAGGGTTTTACTGCACCTCTCAAGGCAGCTCTTCTTCCTCATAGCCTTTACAGTTCAGACCACGTAGTTTGTAGCAGCACCTTGTTTTTGATAAAGCCTAATTAAACACTGGTATTTGGGGGCTGTTTTGTTGGAAGTGCATCACAGTAGATTTGTAATGATTAGCATGGCATGCTTGGAAAATAATGATTAAGAGCAGGGAAGGTTGTAAGCTAGCAATGTACCGTCGCAAAGTGTAATGCCATGTGGGCAAAACTTGGGAGAAAATGAAGAGTCTGTAAGTAATGACTCTCTCTTCGGAAGAGAGACCTTGTTGTATTGAAAGTACTAGTAAAAGAGTCTTGTAGCTATATAAGAAAATAGCTTGTTCTGGTACAAAGAAGAAAGCAGACTTCATACCCACTTACCGTTTTGCTGTCATTATGCCTAAGTTTGCTTCATCCTGCACATGAAGGTGACTTCAGGTGGGCTTGAAGCAGTGCTTGAACAGAACATCCAGTTTGAAACGGCTGCATTGAGAGGAGAAGAGAAAAGTCTATTGCAAATCCAGAAAATGGGGAACGAGGGGGAAAAATATATATAGTTTGAGCTCTGGATAAGTAACTGAGCTTTGGTGTCAGGGTGTTTTGTATTTCTCTCGGCAGTTACTGCCTTCAATTTTTTCTCTGACGGTAACTGTTGCACTCTTTTAGAACTTTAAAGGATCATAAAGCACTTAAAGTTGTAGTGATGTAAGCCTGTGATGAAATGATAGAGGAGAAAAAACCAAGACAGTTCCTGTTATACCAATGGAGAAGAGGGCACAAAAAAATGTGTTGACTGTCCAAGATGCCAGGGAAAGCTATGGCACAGATAAAATCAAAGATTATACTATTTGTCCCTCTCAAAAGCTAACCCAGTTCATTCCACTTGCTCCAAGGCAGGATCAGTATTATCTAAACTGTCCTTGGTGGATATTTGCATAACTTGTTGTTAAAACCCCCTGGGGACGGGAATTATTTTCAGTGATTCTTTCATGACTTAACCATCCTTTCTGCCATCCTTCCATTCAGCTGAAGTCATCATAAAGCAAATTTGCACAGCTATCTTTAAAGCAAGATCTGGGAAAAAAGTAAAATGCAGTTTAAATAATGGCACTGTACCTAGGGATTTCTGGGTATTTCACTGAATGTGGACAGATGTTGTAGATAAAATATGCCATAAAATGAGGGAGGATGGAGAAAATAACACCAAATGTAATCAGACATTAAATTTTAAAATGCCTTAATTTGTAGAACCATGTTTTTTCATTCAGGTAGTCAAGTCCTTCAACATTGAGATCTTTTTTTAAATTTGTCATGTGAGATCTCACAGTACTAGCCTGGTCTGTTCAGCTTGGACATTACAGGTGGTGTGGCACTGTTGGAAAGAGCAGAGTGGTTTCCATGGAGTCCTATCCTGAGCCTCATCATGTTTGTCTTCCATGCTGGGTACCAGATGTGTCCCTGGCGACTAGCCTTGCATGTTAGACAGTGCTGCATAATTCACGTTCCAATATGAAGTCAAATCTTGTAGTGACTAGTCACCCAGACAGTCTATTTACACCAGAGGGAGTGTGCATAAGCAAGGAGGGCAGATTTCACCCATATTTGATAAGGCAGTTTTGTTTCTTTTATGTCTATTTAAATGTATGTACAATATGTTGTTTCCTTAGTATCTTCTTTGCCAAGGGAGTATATTTTTATACTGTGCTGTAATTTCTAATGGCACTTCTCCTTTTTTCTTGTAGTCTGACACAAATGCAAGTTACCTGAGAGCTGCTCGAGCTGGCAACTTGGAAAAGGCTCTCGACTACTTAAAAAGTGGAGTGGACATCAACATTTCAAATCAGGTTGAAGAATACTTTGATCAAATTTGCTGGCTACATACCTTTCTCACTATTTCTTGAATATCTTTTTATATTAGCACTTCATGTCAATGATAACTTATGTGTTTTTTCGATGAGCCTTATTTATGTATTTTATTCAATTAAAACTTTGTGATTTTTAACTCTTACCAAGACACTATTTCACTTCCACTTGGAGAATGTTGTGCTATTTAACGTTATCTTTCAGTCCATTTGTGTTACACCAGACCATGGGACAGCACAGAACTTGAGACCCCAGAGCTAGTATATCATGACTTAATTCATACTCTTCCCTTATAATCTAGTTCTTGTAAAGTTTACATAAGAGCAGTTTTTGGAAGCAGCCCTCTCATTGGGATGTAATAATTTGTTTCCTGATATGTTTACTATGCTGGAAAACCTTTGCCAATCTTTCCCATTGCTTTTCTTTTTTTTCCTTCTTTTTTTTTTTTTTTTCAATCAGAATGGGTTGAATGCTCTCCATCTCGCTTCCAAAGAAGGGCATGTAGAAGTTGTCTCTGAACTGATACAGCGAGGTGCCAGCGTGGATGCAGCAACAAAGGTCAGTCAGGCCTATCTAATTGTTCTCTTGTTCACACTGGTGGTATGGGCACAAGGTGTCAGCAAACCGATTACAGACATTACTGCAGCAGTAATTGTCCATTTTCCACTGGTGGAGTCATTTCAATAATTGTTTAATAGAAACTTTTTAGAGTATAGTAAATGTCAGAGGTTACTAGGAATGAGATTTACTGAACAAATTGTAGGTTCCTGTCTTGGTTTCTGTCCATGTCTTCAAGAATAACTTACACATTAGAAGTATTCAGTTAGAATATTTTGTTGCAAGAAATACTGTATTTTAAAGTGGAGTATGTTCTTGACCGTATCGTCATGTATTCAGCTCAGGTTTTGTACTCTTTTCAGAAAGGAAACACAGCATTGCACATAGCATCCCTCGCTGGACAAGCAGAAGTAGTCAAAGTGTTGGTTACAAATCGGGCCAATGTCAATGCACAGTCTCAGGTAAAGTAACATGCCTCCGTTTGGTACTATCAAAAACTTTGCTGACATTAAAATCGTTTTCCCTTTATAAACTATAATATTAGTAAATATATTTGGTAGATATCATTGTGTTAATGTTGGTTCTTGAAAATAAGGTTTGATAGAGTCAGTAAGATGAATGTAATCCTGCTAATGTTAAAAAAAACCATTCTTTTTCGATTATTCCACACAGGTAGGTAACCGACAACAGGTGCAAGGACAAAGTTTAAACACACAGTTGCCATTTTATTACTGAAGCAGACATTTTAGTGAGTGTTCATTCCCACCCAACATACAATTAAAACTTTACATGCTCCCAGCTCTCCCCGTTCTGCTCTACCCCTCACCAGGTGGTCAGAGTGTACCAAGAGGCATCATGGACATATCAAGTCTTGTCCTCCCCCATAGGCATGACAGTGCCGTGAAATCCCAGGTTGTGTTCAGGTCTTTTCCCACATGAGATGTCAGCCATCAGTTGGGATTAACTCTGAGTTGCCCCCCCTCATTCATCAGCAGAGAAACATAGAAATAACATCTCTGAAGTTGTCCAGAAGCCACACAGACGCACACCCCTGGAGATGCAAGAGAGTAGAGGCACATCCAAGGATGTTTGCAGGATACTGGAAGTTGTTGTGTAACAGGCAGCAGCACAGCAAAGCGTGTAACCTTCGGCCTTAGATTTGCCCTCCGGTGTCCTACGAGCTGCTAATTGTTTCAGAGTCAGAAGAGATACTGATAGAACAGGAGAGTGGGAGAGAACTTGCTCAAATGAAAGTGATCCTGTTTCACATAGTTCAGTGTCTCAGACTTAATCAAGCTCATCCCCTTTCCTTGTACAAGGGGGTACTGGAGGGCATACACAGAGCTTGTAAGTTTGGTGAAGTCCTTTGAATATTTAGGTCAACTACAGAAAATTTGAAATAAGGGAAAACAGTACTGGTGTTAAGAGCAAATCAGTAAAATGAAACAGAAAAACTCTGGCTCAAAAAATGCATAAACCACAGATTGTTGAAAGCCAGGTGGCTGTTCCATAGGAGGTGTCCCTGCATGCCTGCCCCATTCCTGTTCTCCATGCTCAGGGGCTGGCTGTCAGGTAGTCAGAGAAGGGGTCAGATTAAGAGATGGTCTTCTCATCTGGCCCAGTATTGCCATTCTTCTGTATTATAAAGATGTGGGCATGATAGAAAATGTTTGTTAAAAAGGGAAATTAAAAAATTTACATTTTAAATAAACTTTGTTTTTATTGTTCTCTTAAATGATATGAACAAAATGTTTAATAGAATCTATTTCAAGAATGTTAGTTATTTGTGATCTGTATTTCATGCTTCCTTCACCTGGACAAAGAATGGATGTCTCGGTTCTCCTTTCTTACTCTTTTATACTAGCTCGATATAGAAATATTTGGTTCCAGGCAGCATGTAATTTGAATTTAAAGAGAAAAACAATAACAAAAAGTAGTATTAAGTAAAATCTTCCCTGACTGTTAGGAAGTAAAACAGAGCAGAAATATTTCCACTGGTTTTCCTGTTAAAGAAATTAAGATGGCTTTGAAAGGGTCTCTTCTGCTTGTGTTTGAGAACTTGTGTATTCAGCCTGGAAACTAAAAATAATCTGAGAGTGTAAACATCTTATGTAACTGCATTGTCCATACACCCTAAGGTTTTGCCACGTTACCCTTATTTTGCTAACATATGAGAGTTAAAGATTCCCTCCCTCACTATGGATGCTTTTGAAGTCTGTGATTGAGAGACATGTATATTGACCATTCCACACCAATACCTGGCAGTGAGATACCGCGGTTGGGATTAGTCATTTTGGCATGTCCCTGGAGCTCCCTGTTAGCAAACAGCCCCTGAACCAGCTTTGTCTGTGGTACTGAGCATCACTTGAGCCTTCCTAAAGCTTAGAATAAAGTTCTGCTGAACTTGGCATACCCGCAGAGAGACTACTCAAAGATTTTTTTGTTTTATTTTGTTTTTCTTTTTGATGCTGACCCTGTTTTCTGTGAGTTTGGTTTTATCTCCTCTTCCCTTGAAGGTAACAGCTCTACCCTGCTGACAGCACCAGTGTTAGGGATTTAAGGCCTTCTTTAACCAAATCGTCTGGTCCTTTAAAAAAAAAAAAAAAAAAAAAAAGTTAATTTTTACTGCGTCTGAATTTTGTACCTCTTCTAAGGGCTATTTATTACTATTGAAGGCAAAATGCTTTCCTTAGGCTTGTGGCTCACTGGCAATTTCAGCCCCTTTTTAAAGAGAGAAGGAAAAGCCAAGTGGTGGGGGAAGATGTTGAAAACCCTACAATAATTTCACATAGGAGAAAAGGTTCTGTTCTGCCTCCAAATGCTAATGCTACTTGGTTCTGTAAATTTCTGCCTCTTAGTTATTTTCTGAAACTAATAATTGGTGTTTCCTGCTTCCTTTCTAAATGCAAATGTTTGAAATGAACAAAAAAAAAAAAAGCTTTGTTTCCAGCTGAGTTAGTAAATAGATATTGAGTGTGCCATGAAATGATGGGAAAAATGCCAGAGTGCTGTTCACTATAATAATAACCTGTCGTGTGCCATATTAGGTACCTTAGCAAGCGCTTTCCGGCTGCTTGGTTTTTCATTAAGCGGAAGTTTGGCTAAACTGTTAGGCCTTGGTTCTAGAGAGTGCATTAACACATTGCTAACTTTAGGCTTTGGCTGCGGCAGGACTTCAGCGCCTGCTTTATGCTTGTAGCAATGCTTTCCTGAATAGAGACCAACTTATCAAAATACTGGAACAGCAACAAACCTTGCAGCCTGTGTGAGCCTTGTAAACATGTGGCTTCACAGCTGCTCAGTGTCTTGTTGATGGTAAAGTTCCTCTTGGATCAAACATCCAGTTCACGCCATTTCCTCTCCAACTGTCCTTTCTTCTGACTTCCTATTTGTCTCTGCTGTCAGTGAAGCCTGCATGCTCGGCCTCAGGTCACCTGTGCGCTCTGTGTTGGACGTGTGCCCTGCAGCTCTGCCCCATTGCTGTGACAGTCAGATGTCTCTCAGCTGTTTTCACTGCGGCTACTATAACTCAGCCAAAATTTACTGCTATAGGTCTTAGGCTATGGTTTCCCTTCATCCCTCCAGAACCCAAAATGCTGTTTTTTCTTTGATGCAAGTATATGACCAAGCTCTTCCCAGCTCATCTCTGTTTGGCTGAATTGCTGAGCTGCTCTCCCTGTGCCTTCTACCCTGCCGAAATGTCTGCCCTGGACATGTTGCAGACATGAGAGTGCCGATACTGTCAGCCAAGCCCAGTCATATGGAAGCACTTCCTGAACTTTTCTGTTATTTAAGCCAGATGAAAGATCTCTTCTGTTTACCCCTACCTTCTATTTTATTTTGTATTTTCTTTCCTCCTGTATTCCTCATCCTCTAGAGTAATGACCATACACGGTGTGTGGTAAAGCAAGAGGTCTGATGGATTTTAAGAGGGAGCAGTTGAAGAGAGGAGCTGCTGCCTCCATTGCAGCTGACTCTGAGGTTCACAGAAATCCCAATGGCATGAGATCTCAAAGATAGTGAGAAGAAAGACAGGGTCCTACCAGAGGCTGCTGAAACCTCAGTGACCTACTGGCCAGAACATTTAATGGCATCATCACCCACCCTGGTACCACAAGGAAAGGGATCAGGCAAAATCTAGCAGTGGTATGTCTGATAGGGTAGTGCTGGAGTATGAAGGGTAAAAACATGTATCATGATAGAGGAGAAAGGGATTGTTGTTCTTATTGCTGATGCTGCTTTGGTTGCATCAGCCATACCAAACTGCTCAGTCAATAGTGTATGGACATTTTAAGTTGTTACTATAAAATATATTTACCACTAGTTCATGATTCTGTTGGACTGAGGGACATGTGGTGCTATATGAAAGCCAAGCAATTCCAGGTGCAAATCAGCAACTTCTATAAATTCCTTTAGAGGTTATCTTGATCCCAGGACAGGTTTCATTACTTAATTTTGCCATTTTGGTTTTGTGAGTGACGTCAAAGCTGTGAATTTCACAAATGCACAGAACAATAGGGAAAAATACATTGCCTTAATGTTAGTCCCCAAAAATTCAATTGCTGAAAGGCCAGTTAAGGCAAAGACAAAAACATTGACTGTAAGAGCAAAGTACTTGCCAAAGAATGAGTTAAGCTCTGCAGCCTCTAATACTTGTATTGCATTGATTAAAATTACTCAAGCACAATTTGAGAAATGATCTAATGTAGTCGGAAACACTGATAAACCCCTGTATCAAACTACCGAGAACCAATGATCCTTAGATCTCCTGGTGCCTGAAATACGAAGTAGCTCAGTGACCACAAGCAGGCTATGCTCAGAAGGCAAGCTCTTTGAGGAGACAAAAGGCGTAAGTAGCTGGCACAAGTGAAAGAGAAGTCAAAGCTAATGGAAAGAGGAGAAAAAATTGGAAAGTATTCTGAAGAGCCATTGCTCTTGCTTTCACTACAGACATGTATTGTATTGCCTGTCCCATTTTGCATTTCCATTGCTGTGGCTGCATTTATCTGGAATCATAACTCATCTCTACTGAATGGTCTGTCCAGATTGGTTTTTAGTTTGACTTCACAACAGATGTAAAAGGAAGTATTCTTACTTAGCTGTGGGAACTGTATCTGGTCAGCTGAAAGATTCCACTGTGTCCTTTTAAAGAATATTACCCTTCTCCTGTCTTCACTTAAATCAATAACACAGTTAATTGGCATGTGAGCACACAGTTCATTTGATTTCCTCCACATCTACCTGAATTTGGCAGATCTGTGGTACGTATGAAGTGTTTACACTCTTGTTTTCCTATTTCAGAATGGTTTCACTCCACTGTATATGGCAGCCCAAGAAAACCACCTGGAGGTTGTTAAGTTTCTTCTTGACAATGGTGCCAGTCAAAGCCTTGCCACAGAGGTAAAAGTTTGAATTTCACACTTTATGAACGAAGTAAAACGTGCTTCAGCAGTGATTCTTGCCAGCTTATATCAAACTAGTCTTTTAAATAGAAAATTAAAAGTTCTCTCTGCAAAGTATGCTAATGAATACTGAGTTATTGGCTTTTCAGCAGTTTAAACCATCTCTTGCCATTTCTAAAATAAAAAATGACTTTAACTAGAAACAGGTCTAAAAATAGATGAGTTCTTAGTCATAACTGGTAATCTTTCAGGTTAAGTGCTCAAACAGGGAGGCTGTCTGCATAATAAGTTCTCTGTGCTTTCATTAAAATAGTGAGTAATGTGGAGGGCAACTATCAAACCAGAACAACTGTTTAAAACAAGAACAACTCTTTACCTATGCTTTGTAGCCAGCAGTGGGATATCGGGGAAAACCCAGGGTTACTTAATGCTTGGAGCATTTGGAGCATTTTCTGAACTGCATTTATTGCCGTGTTGATAACCTCTCTGTAGCACCTAGTTATCCCATCCGGTCCTGCAGTGATAATTTCAAGCTGACAGAAAGATGCAAGGTCCATCCTTGAAGGTGTTCTGTGATGTTTCTAGAAGGACAGTTTTTATTTCTTGCCTTTAAAAGTAATTATAATGCAAATAAGGCAACCTGGAAGGAGAAAAAGTGGCAGATGTATTAATAGTCATAAAGGTACTGCATTGAGGTAGGTTTTTGATCTCTGATGAAAAAAATCTGATGAATTTCCAGTTATCTTAGTTCCAAGATTTTGCTACCAGAAAAAAAAAAGGTATTTTAGTATGTTCTCTCTCTAATATTTACTAAATTATTATTGCTCTTTCTGAACTGATTCCATGAAGGAAATAATTCTTACTTGAAAAAGTCCTACTTTTTGCAAAGTACGAAATGCAAAATTAGGTTATTGCATCACTGTACCTCATAGTATCACTGTATAATGATGTATGTATGGAATCTTTTTCTTCTCTTCTGAAGTCAGCGCTGTGAGAAATGAATCGCTAATGGATTAAAATTATGTTTTCAGTATCACTAAAAATGTTATAACTAGAAGTGTGCATCAGAAACTACTTTCTGGAAATGCTCAAAGATATGAAAGCCAAGAAATACCAAAATGAAATATTGTCAATCTGGAAAATGAATTGAAAATTGTGGTTTTCAGAGCACTAATTTCTGTTTCTTTGTAAAAATTGGAAACAGAGGAGTCATGGGACCCCCAGAGATGTACAGTAGATTCAGACTTCTGAAAATATTCTTGCCACTGCATGATTTTCTGAACATAGAAATTTTAAAAATGATGCATGGATATTTGGTTCTTTTTCTTTGGTATTGTTTTTCCCTTGAGCATTATATGTCAGTTTAGGTTGAGCTTTTCTCCAACTCAGCTTGATGATAAGGTGCAATTTCATTTTATCCATGGAGAATTCCTTTGAAGATACCAGACTACAAAACAGTGTTGCCTTACTTGTTTGTGGTAGTTCCTTATGGGTGCTTTTTCATTTTATCTTGGTCCAATTTTTCTTATAAATCTGATTTATCTTTATCTTTGTTAAGTGCAAAAGCCTTTTTTATTAAATGATTGCCACTTGGCTAAATATTCATTAAAAATAAAACTCTTTAACAAAGGTGTTTTAATCTAAATGAAAAAATAGAACCAACTATTTCCTTTAACTTGTTTTCCTTTTTTGGCATTTTGTTTTGTTTTTTTCTGGAGTGGGCTTTGCCTCATGTTTTAAAGCGCAGTTGCTAATTACAGTACTGACATCATGGTACTTGCCTGCGATTGGATTTTGTGAGTTGGCATCTTCAGAGACCATGTGGTGGAAAAGTCTTATTGTTGGTGCTGATATTCTTGGTTGCAGTTTGCTTGGCCTTGGTACAGTGGTCTCTGCACACACTGAAATGATGGGCAAGTCTCATCAGAGTTGGGAAACTGGGGCTATAGGGGATGGCAGCTGTTCTGGGACTGAAATTAAGTGCTCCCTCCCATTTGTCCACTCCCTTTTCCCTAAGGAAAAGAGAAAATGTGTTGCTAGGATTATTTCTTTTTTACTGTTGTTACCAGCATTTTTAGCAGAAGAGAAAGCCCAATGAGAACAGACATCGTGGATAGCTAAGCCACTTTTCTTTGTGAAGCCGCTGACTGTGCAGCTGCTGCCAGCTGTATAAATAGACCAGGAAGCCAACATCTCTGGGTCACTAAGGCGCGAGCTGTCACACTCAAAGTTTCTCCAGGCAGAAGCCTTCATTTCTGCAGGTACAGCATAGCTATATTGCCAGAGCCCTCTTGTGGGGACGCTCATGGAGTTTTTTGGCCTTCACAGCTACACAGTATTTTTCAAACCCTGTGTCATGCTCTGCCTGCAGTCTGAGGCTTCGTGTTTGTTTCAGCCCAGGTTAAATGAGTTAAAAAAAAATTCAGGGAGGGAAACTTGTTTAGGATCCAAGGAATTTTAATTATTCCCCCCCCGCCCCAATTTTGAAAAAATGCTCTTTTTCAGAACTCCTCCTGTTTTTCCTCCTAAATTGAGGTTTACCTTTGGTAAGCCACAGAGAGAAATTCCGTATTGAAAACATTACTTATATTTCCAAAAGTTAACACTTGAACTCTGCACTTTTGACATAGGGTGAGGATCTACATCCTTCTGTGTCATTGCTGCACTTTTGTTTCACACTTAGACAGTTTCACCATGACAGAAGTAGCTGAAAGGTGAAAGGAGGTGTTTACCTACTAAACTGTAATGAAGTTTGGTAATATAAGCTTTGCATATATTCATATATGGATATACTGAGAGTCAAATGTAATAAATAAATAGCCCAAGTAGAGTAATTTGCATTTGTGATTTTTTGAGTGATTTAGGGATATTACCTTGGGAAAAGCTGAATGGGTTCCTGGATTAGAATGCCACTTAAATGTTTAGGAAGGAGCAGAATCTAAATGACAACTCTTTCATTCTTTCGTTTTCCAAGAATCCATAAGAACAAAATTATAAAAACATCTCAGACTGTACTTTTCACATGTTTGAGGAATCCACTCTAAAATCTGTTTAAACAAAAATCTTCTATTTTTCAGGTTTCTTATTCTGCATTACTTTGGCTATTTGCTAGTCTGAAAGGAAATAATTTCTGTTTGTAAGAGGATTGTCCATCACATCTATATAAATTTTCATAAATGGAAGTTGTGGTAAAATAATTGGTATATTGGGAGAATGTGGTATTCATATTCAAATATTACTAGATTTTTAATCCACATATAAAATATATCAGAGGATAGAGCTGAAGTGTTGGTGGGGTTTTTTTGTCAAAAACACAGATTATAACCTGTAGCTGTGGGGGGGGAATGGATGATAATTTGCTATGCAGACATCATTAACAATTCTAATTTTAATATTCAGCTTTTTATATACGTATGCACTTTATTATTCACACACTTATTTATGCAACTGTTAATTCATAAGTAATTTCACCCTTTTTTCCTCAAGGCTCAGTCATTTTGTTTGCTTGTGTCTTAAAATTTTATGTTTAAGTCCAGAGTTCCAGAAAGGTATTTTGAGCATTTGGGACCTAGTTCACCAACACTTTACTCCAATTGCAGTGTCATTGCAGGATACTTTTAATTTGCACCATGTTAAACTTTATGTTTGAATTTGAGCCAGTTACTAATGCTGAGATCTCTTCCCTTCCCGTTTCCACCCCTTGGAAAGCTTGAAACGTGTGTTGAGAGTCCTCATTGTATGTTGCAGGATGGTTTCACGCCTTTGGCGGTAGCTTTGCAGCAAGGTCATGACCAGGTGGTTTCACTGCTGCTTGAAAATGATACGAAGGGAAAAGTTCGTCTTCCTGCCCTTCACATCGCTGCTCGCAAGGATGATACAAAGGCAGCAGCTCTACTCCTGCAGAATGACCACAATGCTGATGTGGAGTCAAAGGTCAGTTGTAAAAAGAAAAAAGGTTTGATGCTATTAAGTGCTGACCATATGTATTAATTACATCAAGGCCTCCCTTAGTGAAGTATTTTGCTGCAGAATTACACATAACTTTCTCCTAGAGTGTGTGATTAAGAGTAACATTCAATTTGCTTCCTTTGCCTCTTTGTCCCCCGTTCCCTTTTTGTTTAAATCAGGGTTAATTTCTCCTGTAGAAACTTCGCAAATGGAAAATAATAAGTAAAATATTAGAATTACTCTCTTGGGAATGAAAGCCACTCCTGCAGTAGTGTTGTATAGGTATTGTACAATTAAGTTATTTGGTTAGTTGTTTGTGCAATTGCTACTTTAAGAACTTTGGTAAACATGTAACAGTTAACATTCAAAATACTTGATCATTCAACTTCCATTCAGTTGAGCTTCCTTTGTGTGCTGATTGTGCTGTCATCTGAGCTGCCATGCCATGTAGCAATCATGAAGCTTTTTGCATCCATGTCACCAGTGGTGAACTAACCGTTCATTTTTTCCCCCCCTCTTTGCTTCCAAATGTGTTAACCTAGATGATGGTGAATAGAACAACAGAGGTATATATAAATATATATATGCATCATCACTCCTCCATGACTTAGTGCTGCTGCATCATTTCTTCCTCCTTTTTGCATTGCCTTGTATAGGATAGATACCTGCTTTAGATGAAATGAAGTAGCATGTGCTAGAGAAGACTGTAGTTTAGATACCAGGGCTTTCTGCAGCTGAAACTAGGGTTTAAAAGTAAGAGTAAGTGCTCATGGGAACTAACTGCCATCATGAAAGAGCCATATTGTGTAAGATGGAGTTTGCAGGGATTCTTATTGAGCATATGTTTATTAGATGCGTTAAGAGCTGCAGACAACCCTGTCCTGTTGTGCATCCAGGTCTGATTTTAGGCTTCTGCATGACACTTACCTTGATGGTGTCAGCAAATAGAATGATCCAAGAGTGATTTTATATCTGCAGAACTCCCAAAGCAAGGCAGTGGCAGCTAGCATGGCTTGCTAACAATTTAGAAATGCATCTAGTTCCCATAAGGTTTCATACTTTGCAGGACTGGTAGAATTGCTGCATGTTTTAGCACTATTTTAAAAGGAAGTAAAACTACTTAGAAATGAAAATAAGTTGCTGAAGTAATTTTATCATTAGGCATCTTCTAATTAGGATGGTAACTCGTGGTGTCTGAACATAACCCACTGTGATTGCCCACAGTGGGAGACTGATCTTTATGGTGCTAACCCTTGGAAAAAAAAAGATCCATATTAATAATTTAAAATTGTCTTTGATGTTGTTTTCATTTGCATCTACTTTGAATTCATAAAAAGCAGTTAGCAAGTATCATTAAATGACTTGTATCTGGACTTCTGCAAATAATCTCTAAGAGATTTAACTTGCAAGGCTGACATAATATCAATAAATAGATATTTCTAGTTATCAATTAATTTCAGATTATTGCTTTCATCCTGAAATGTTTTGCTGTGGTTTTTCTGGAATAACTGAAAGTTTTGTCGTACTTCTGGTCTTCTAGATTAATTACGTTGATTTTTTTTTTTCCCCCTTCTGCATAGCAATATGATTTTATTTAGACTCTTTGAGAGTCTATAAATAAACATCATTGAGTGAAAACTAGTACAGAATTGGAATGGTGACTTGCAGCAGACTCCTATTACTAGCTTCTGTCAGTGATGTAATACAAATTTTGGAATACCAATGAGATGTAAAGAAAATAAGTATTTTGGTTTGGTTTTGTTTTGTTTTTCCAGAGTGGGTTCACTCCCCTCCACATAGCTGCTCACTATGGAAATATCAATGTAGCTACATTGCTGTTAAATCGGGGTGCTGCTGTGGACTTCACTGCAAGGGTAAGTGTGAAATCTTAGTTATGCTTAGTTTGCTTAATCATCACTTTGAAACACTTTTTCCACAATGATGTGGAAAGGCATGTTGTTTTTGCCAGCCCAGGGCCTGGCCTGACTGATGTTGTTCTGTTACCATATGGTGTAAAGGGGGTTTCCCTGGGCTGCTGAACTGAACCTAAGCTCCAGCCCTCACCTTTGAGGTTTTAATCAAAAAGAGCTGCTGTTTTCACAGTTCCAGTGTTGCAAAAGGTAAGCTGGGGTTCACTGAGACGAATGCTTCCACCTGTAACTTTAACATATGGCGGGAGTGCTGTCCCTGTTGAATTGTCCTCAATATGCTGCCGTTTCCAGTGAACGCGAAGTGCAGGTGTACTGGTGACTAAAGGAGCTGTACCTTCACTGCATATGCGAGAGCCAGATGATACGTAAGGGAGATCTGAGAAACTGGAGAGGCAGAAAATGAAACGAGGCGTAGAAATGGAGGGGAGTTGATAATGGGAGCTGTATGGCGGAAACCATGGTATAGTGGGGGAACTAACCCTCCTGACCCTGTAAGCTCTGCACCAAAGTCATGATATCAGCCCAGGGACTGACAGGGTAGTTCCTCGCAAGTGTGAAAAAAGATCGGGAGCCAGGAGGGAAATGGTATGGGCTTTCCCGGTCTCCCCTTGGTTCACTCTGGGCTGGGTGGGGAGCAGCTGACCAGTGGCTTCAGCTGCACCTTCTTGCTTGAGGAGCGGGTCCATACTCCCACAGGCAGCTGGACTGCTCTGTGAGCCTGCTGTCGGCAGGGCCTCACCTCACAGCCTGGGCTAAAGTTTGACTATATCTGCTTTCAAGGATCGGGTCTGTCAGAAGACCAAAGAGGAATATTCAAGTGAGGGAGTGTGGTTAGCATAGGAGGACGTGGGAACAACAGCATGTAAGCAGCGTGAGTGTAAAAGGTGGAAAAAAACAGAGAGAAGTGATATATAGATGGAACAGCAGGAAAATAAAGAAATATATATGGACAGGGATGTAGCAATATGAAGGGCAAGGAAAGAGATTGAGCCAGGCCCAAAGAAAGGCAAATGCAGAGGTAACACAAAATTTAATGAGCCGGGATAGTGGGCTAGAGAATGCTATGGCAGAGAGGACGTGAGCAGAAAGCTGAGTAAGTGCTATGAGATTGGCAAGGCTTTAAGAAGGGAAAAGCAGGGAGACTGATTAGGGGCATACAGATAAATAGAAGAGGGGCTAACATTCAAAATAGGTTAGTACGGGAAAATGCTGGAGCTAGAACTTCCTACTGACGTTCTTAAAAATTTGTTTGCTCATAAGCTTCTTCAGTAATGGTTTGGGCTGCATGAATAAGATCACACCTATAGAATTGCTGCTGACACACAGCCAGTAATGGTTGTCAGCACAGAATGTGTGCAACAGCATGGAAATCTGTTGAAATCCATAGTGAAAAACAGATCAAACTCTTGGCTTAAGAATACAAGTATTTCTCCTGTTGGTTTCTCCAACAATGTAGCAACCAAGAAAGAGGAGGACCTGTTTGTCAGTTTTTCACTGAGTGGTGTCTGTGATACAGTTTAAAAAAAAAAAAAAAAAAGCCTAAAAAAGCAAATGTGATTCCAGGTTATTCCAAGGTATTTCTGATATAGACCAAAAAAACCCCACAAACAAAAAACCCCCACTATAAACCAAAAAAAAACCAACCCACAAACCAAAGCAAACCAAGGCTGTGCAAGAGTTTGGCTCACCAACCCTTATTAAAACAAAGCAAGGGAGGAAATATGGTAGTGGTCCCTAGGACAATAGGGAGAGAAACTCAAGAGGGATTCAAACTGAAGGCAAATGCCGATGTAAGAGTAAATAGGTATAAACTGGCCAAGAATTAATTTTGTCTAGAAAACTATTATTGTGTATTAATAATTAATATTATGTAATTAATAGATGTTTGCAGATTAATATTAAACATAAGTAATGAGATTCTGGAGCAACCTTTCAATTAAAGTAGAAAGAGCAAAAAAACCCAGGGTGTATTCAAGATGATATTTATGAGGGGAATTATGTGGCATGGATAATTCAGCAGCTTCTTTTCAGAGATTTTGGTCATGTGTTGTGTTTATTACTTTTACAAGAGGAAAAGTACTATACAACTGCTCAGAGCATTTGCCACATAGCAAAAAGGAAATTGTAGCATTTTCTTTTACTTTAGATAGTTTGTGTATCTAAAAACTTGAATGCTTTTGTAGTTAAGGAACATTTACATGCAGCAAAGTGGTTATGATAAGAATTGCAAACACATGTAAACAATACAATAATACCGTGTTCATTTAGCATAGAAACTATGACTTTTCTTCTAGGGCTTCTCACATTTAAAAGCCACACACCCCCCCC